AACGGAAAGTGTGAAAACTTTTCCGTACAAGTACTTAAAAGTTCCATTAATTTCGTAGGTTATTCTTCTCAACTACCCTTAACCTTAAATGTTCAAATTTTTGTAGGACTGTTTTAATTTCCAGGACATTTTGCGACATAGTGATTATTTACATTATGGTACCTGTAGGGGGAACATGACTCGTAAGGACAATACTAACACAATCAAACATCCATGCCCGAGGCGGGATTCGAACCCGCGACTTTTCGGGCCTAGAGACAGCTACAGCCCTGCAGATCTCTGCTATCCAGACCGGTGTCAACAAAGTTGAACTAGTGTCAGTACAGTAAACAACTATAGAGAGTGTAATGGAATCATATTCCAAGAATTCGCGATGTGCTGGCAATGCAAGGTAATCCTAAACGTTTCATCACTGCAGGCGTCTTAAAGCCACCAAAGCACATTTTTACTTTCTCGCTACTGCTAGCACAGAGGAAGAATCCATGTGTGCACTGCAGGTCTTAGATACCGAAAAACAGATGGACAGTAAAACGTCTGTGAACAACGCTAGCGACTTACCCGTTATTAGGATTTTCTCTAAAATTGATATTTCCCAACTGTCTGGCTGATGTCGTGGCCCCTTGAATTTCTTAAAAGCGATATCTTAATGTGGGGAGGGGGTACTTTACATAAATCCCTCTGGAACATTTAAAAAAAAAAATCCTCTGATAGCGTAAAAAGGAACGCTTAAGAGAATGGTTGCGTTGAAATCCGTTGTTTTTCGAAAATTGCAAAGTTTCCTTTCTTGATGTCTTCTTACATCTAAAATTATGAATATACGTTTTTCTTTTTTCCTTGATGAAATTTGTTCATCGGAAACCTCTTCAAATAAGGCCAAGTTCAACTGTTCGAAAATGGGTAGTTTTGCTTAATTTTGCGTGAAACAATTTTTAAATTCTGAACAATTATTTTTTCAAAAAATCTCCAATTTTTTTCCCGCGTATGTAGCAAAGAACAGTAAAGAAAGTGGTGGTGGTCCTATTTTCGGTACTGTTCTTTCGAAAATTGGAAACAAAATCGAAACTGTAAATTCGAATTCCCGCGCTGTCAGTTCGCAAAATGACAACACTGCTGATGGAAATTATTAAGGATATTTATAATTGTTGCCGATTAGTGCCAAATATATGACAGTATTCTTACGAAAAGATATAGATTTCAGGAAAGTAAGAGATTTCAGTTGTAATTAACAAATACGCTTTTTTTACTTTAAGAAGTTTTGATCGCTAATTGCGGTATTCAAAAATTGCGATGTAGTAATCATGGCATGCTTGTGTAAAATTATTCTTGCTTTTTTATACAATCTGCTGCATATGCCACAAGTGTTAAATATATTCACGTTTGTTTCATTTGTAAAAGAAAGAAATGCCTATTGTTCCTGTCGAAATAAATGCAGGTAGGCACCACTGACCCCTTGTTTGAAATGGTTGAATTTGACTTCTAAGGTAAACTGAGTTGTTGATAGTGCAGAAATTGCAGTATTACAATATTATGAAAGTTTCTAACAATGCGATAAAATATTTGCTGATGTAGCACATTTAGTTTAATAATACATTGACTCTACTAACTTCCAAAATTCTTTTCATATTCTATTTCATATTCCAGTTAAGCTTAGTATCTTTTGGGAAAGAAATGTGGGTTCGGTTTAGGATTTATTGCTCAAAGGTGACAAACTATATCATAGAAAAAAACTTTGAGTGAAATTTGTGGATCTGATTTTATTACATATACGAGAAAGTAAAAGGAAGAAGGCTGAACTACTACTTCAATTTGCACTAATACTAGAGGCTAGTAGACAAAGATATCGAATGTTTTTTTTTCAAAATGAGACAGATTAAATGTTAAAAATCTTACAAGGTTAATGAAAGCCAGGGCATTTACTTTTCTTTCATTATTTTACTCGTCGGAAAAGCTTTTTTAACTTGCTTCCTTCGAAACCAGAAAAATGCCTATGTAGTCATTTCGGTTCAGTTGCGGCTCGTGGCCAGGCCTGCCACGAATAACTTGCGCATTCGCCGCCCCTGCTCGGCGCTATTTGGACGTCCCCGCCCCCACGTAGCGTGAGATCCCGCGGCGGGAGCGGAGACGCAGGGAGTGCGTCCCGCAGTTAGCGCGAGCCCTTGGCCTTGCGTTGCCCAGAGCAACCACTCGCGCTGTACCTTTACCCCTTGCCTCTCGATCTGCTGTCCGCAATCGTGTGCACTTGTAGCTTTGATCAGCCGTGGCCTGCGAAGCCAAAAAACCAGCAGTAGGATAAGGAAGGCAAAACAGCATAATTCGCGCTTCATATTTATTCACATTTTTATGTATCTCGCTTAATTACCATGTAGCAAAAATGTTATAGAAATTGCCGTTTTAAAATACATTTACTTCCATTAAATACAATGTAGCAACTGCTGTTAGCATCAATAATAAAATGAAGGAATCGATACCGGTGTTTTTGTACACACGAACTGCTGTTCATAAAGTACTACCAGAGATAAAAATATTTATTTTATTTTTTACTGATTCGTTATTGCTTGTTTTTGCCTTCGACACGGAGCTCCGTATACACTACATAACTTACCTGGATCGTGGTTAAAGAAAATATGGAAACAGTTGAATGATACATGTTCTCCTATGGAGGATAATATGAAAAGATTTACAGAGTGAAGTTAACGTATAGTTAATTTTATTGATTTAGATTTACTAATTAGGTTAAAAATTATAAATTATATGTGCCACGGGCGTTAAGTTCTAATGGTCTCGGGTGGCAGAACGGCTTTCGGTCTTTTGTAGACGCCCTTGGTGCATTAATATAACTATTAAAGCTAGACATTAGAATTCAAAACGGAATGTAGATGTAATATATTTGGTTCGTGGATGTAATATATTTCGTTCTTGGTTTGAAGTTCGTGAAACATCTCAATTTGATTATATTTTAAAAAACATGATTTTAAAACTAAGTTACTATTTTCCCGTTCACATAATTTGCTAGTGCCGATTCATTCATTCAGGCAGCTAGCGATGCATTTCACCATTCGTGACCATAAAAACAATTAAGGAGAAATAATTTGCAGTAAGATTTGATAATTGGAGCTAAGGCCGGGGTTATAAACATTTTGGCGTTTTAATGGTTTCAGAAAACTTTTTCAAAGAAATAAGTTATTTTTGAGTGGTTTATCAACCAAACAGATTGTCGATATTTTATTAAAGATAGGGATTGGTTTCCTTCTAGGTTAAAACATCTTTGGAGGTAAATATTGTGAATTTATTTCATTAATTTTTCTGACATTGTTTTTTGGCCAGTAGCGGCTACTTTGTCAGGTGACAAAATAAAGTAAAAAATCACCAGTCAATATTAAAACAGTTCAACTACAAATAATAAACGGTTAACTTACGAGATAAAAATTGTAAAGTTAATAATTGCAAAAGAAACAATCTAGTACGAAACGGTATTGAAAATTAGTACTTCCTTCGAAAATTCAATAAAATTTAAATGGAATGGTGAATAGTTGAGCATTTGGAAGTAGTAAGTCATGCTTTAGTGTGAAAATTTAATCCCCACAAATCTTAAGCATAAATCAGCACTCGTTCCAGATGTTATTTGGACGACAGACTTGTGAACGACTCTCGGAATCTTTACTAGATATCCGTAGATGTTTTTCTCTTCCCCTCCACAGTATCCCCCTGAGGAGAGGGGAATTTATTTGCTCATTTGGGTTACATAATACCTTACGGCTTAAGCGACTGAGAGGAATCGCTTCTCTTAATTATTAACTAAAACGAACTTAATTTTTGCATAGTCTAATTGTATCATTCACGCTTCATTCATACTCGTTTCATTATACACATATCCATTCATTCATCCCATTCACTCACCCTGCACTACAATTCGCCCCTTGACTCAGTGTCCATTTACCTCAGGCCCATTGGGAAGCGTGGTATATGAAGCATGGCGTCGCGTTCCCCGCGCTTCCCTCGGCCGATGAAGTCTTCCCTTCCGCGTTCGGTTGCCTCATCTTGCTCGTGGAGCCGTAGGCCATGGATACAAGCTAGCTTTCAATTTCACCCTGACTCACCCCCTGGATCCGTTCACTGCCACCCAATGTTTTTTCCTTCCCATGCCTTTTTGTCTTGCGGAAGCCATCCCCCTCCGTCTTCGCCACTGTCGCAATAGAATCCTGCCCGGTGGCATCTCGTCCGACGCGACGAGATTGGTTAACCCAGTGCTCCCTGCGCGGCGTGAAGTGAAGTTACTCCGGCAATGGCGGCGGTTGGTGCCGGTTGAGACCACGTGTTTGAGGTAATTTTGTTCGTTCATTCGCGCTTCATGTTGCATTCAGCTCGAAGGTGTCGGCTTCCCTTCAATGTAACCGCGATAACTATTTGCTTAATTTATATTGCTATTTCCATTTAGACACACTGTGAAATTACGAAAACTCTCCCGAGTTGCATGTCCCACGTGGCCCTCATCTGAGACAATCTCGTTTCTGCCATGCTTCTCCAGGCGTCATTAACGTGATTAGAGATAATTATTTTATTTCCTTTTTCTTTGTTTAATGTGTTTTTGGGGGGGTGGTAGCGGGGTGCTCATTTAGGGAGAGTTTTGAAAACGCTATCCGCCAAGCAACTTCATAATGGCAACCACTGTGTTTGAAAGTGGTGCGTGCTCAGCCCCCCCCCTTTCTGGTTCGGAAGTGCAGTTTTTCTCTCGCGAACCATTTATGTAACCTTTATCATTAACATTTAATCGAATACGCGCGAGAGAGCTCATAGTACTAGGATTTGTTCCTCCTTCCTATCATAGGTTGAAAATGCAGGGTGAAGGGAAACAAAACTAAGTGTTTTTGCGTGTGGGGGGAGAAATCCAATTTCCAATGGAGACAGTTGGTACAGTGAACTATTCTCTCCACGTGTACTGTACGTATAGTTCAAATTTCTAATACTCCCGGAAGTATAAAATTGCGAATTATTTGTTGCAGAAAACGGATCAGCGGTGCCTGTTGCGCCAACGGTGATAAAGGCTCCCAAGGATCGCAGAAAAGTTAATCAGCAAGTAAGTATATTATAGTTGTATTGGTGGTGGTGGCGACTGTAACATATATGTTAAATGTAACTGGTAGAAGTGTAAAAAAAAGTCGTAAATAATTATAAGAAATGATGAAACAATTCAATTTGTCTTCTTTTCCCGTCAGAGAAAAAAAATGCTGAAATATAATTTTCTGAAATTATTAAACACACTAATTTAATAATTATATTGTAACAAAACACTGAACTAATCACTTTTCTTAATTTTTAGGCAAGTGATTTCTCTGATGTGGATGATTGGCCTACTTTGGGAACTGAGGTTAGTATTCTTTGATGTAATAACGTTTCTTTGTATTTAATGCATGCATATGATGATAAATCTATTTTTGTCTTCTTTCCCCAACAGAGTGCATAGTGTTGACGTAGGTTATCTGAGTTCATTACGTACTTTAAGTTATAAGTTCAGGAAGTAAGTTTGTTTTTAGCATGCCTTGTAATTGTTTCCAGAAAAAAATTATTTCTGGGCCATCAAGACATAATGGTCATGTGAAAGCCAATTCTGGATCAAGTTCTGGAGATATTCAGTTTCCAAAATTAAATGAGTCTTTCAAGAAACCAGAACAAGGGTGTGAAACAACACAGAAAAATGAAGACTCTATTGCTCCTGTTACAGAGGCTGCAGATCGCCGTAAAAGGAGTAAGGAATTGTGATTTTGTATTGTTTGATGCAGGTGAGAGATATCTGGACTGATGATAAACATTATTTTGCTTATTTTACCTAATTGCAGATCCTAAACAAAAGTGGGTGCCTCTTGACATTGATCTATCAAAAGCTCGAGGAAAGCGGGACCGGTCTCCAAAATTTGGAGGCAATCATTATAGAGAAAAGGATTATGGTGAGTATGTCAAAAGCAAATGTTAAAAAAATCCAAATGTATTGTAACGTAATACATTTTTTGGAGATGTACCTTTGTGTACCCTTGCTCCAAAGCATGGGTGGTGAGAAGTTAACACAAACCCCCAAAATCCATGTAAAACTCAAATTATATTAAACTAGAAGTAAAAATCATCTTCAACATGATATTAAAGTGACTTTAATATTCTATGCAATTTAATCAGAAAAGGTTCAATTTTATTTAATGTCAAAAAAGTTCAAAAAGATGTTACATGTGCAGGGAGTATAATCTACACTTACCTTTGGAATCTATACCCTGATTTTTACTTCCTAGTGTCACTATAGTAAGTTCAATTGTAAATAAGGATGATAACAACCATTTTTGGCAAAATTGATAAGTAATAATTTGCTTCTGTGTAATAGTAATTGCTTTTGCCTGTACAGGTTTTGGCTCTCATCTTATTGTGCAAATGTAAAGGAATTACTCCCTACTATGAGTAAAGGAAGATTATTAATGGTTCTAGAGAAATATCACACCACTTGGTTTATGAAAATGTGTTCAAATTGGCAACTACATTTATGATCAGAAGCAAAAAAAGGGAACATATCATTTGCTCAATGAATCAAGGGAAATTGATTTAAAATCATGATGGTGGTAGGGTTAGAATTGTTGATCATTCTCAATACTGGGTCTAAAACTGCAGCCCGTTCAAAGTTCTGAACCAGTAGTTCACTTCAAAAGCTGTATACAAATTGCAGAATTATCTCAGTAGTTGTTGTTGTTTATTATTATTATTATTATTATTATTATTATTATTATTATTGTTATTGATGGTGTAATATCCCACGTATGTCTCTTTCGCTTTTCTCTCCTCTCTCTCTCTCTCTCTCTCTCTCTCTCTCTCTCTCTCTCTCCTCTCTCTCCTTTCTCCCTCTGTCTTTCTTGCTCTTTCTCTAAACCTATAATACCCACTCATAGAAACTCTCAATACAGTAGTCTCTCTCTAATTTGAGTAAGATATAATTAACTTACCGTCAGCAGTTAATGGAATAATATTATGCAAGTACATATTTTATTGTAATATACATACTTTTAAATTTAAGTCTATCATCATAAATTAATCATTCCCTATGATTGAAGTTATCATTAATTCATGATATTCTTGGTTCTGTCCAACTTGAATTATCGAGACTCTACTATAATGAAAAATTGCATAGAGAATGTGTTGCTAATTTCAAAACACTTTGCGGCTGTGAACACTTTTGTCATAGCGACACAAGAACCTATCTTGATTTTGTCTGCCTACAAGAATCACAGCATTCAACATTAAAACACCTAAAGTAGGATACTAGTGAAATAACTTCTGGGAGGCACTTCTAGTAGTTTAATTATGAACACAATGATGACCTAGGGAGAGGATTTTTAAGCCCTAAAAATCTTGAAGTATGCTTTTAAAAATGTGCATTTATGACCTAAAAATTCAGAAATTTGCAATAAAAATTAACATTATTTCCTTCCCTATATAAACCTTTCTTGATAAAATTCAGGAGATGCATGCTTGAAATGAAAATATATATTTTTGTGCAAATATGATCTACCTTATTTCACGGGAAAAATAAATAAATAAATAAAATATTCACTACAGTGCAGTATGTTGTAGATCTTGTTACAACTCATCACTAGCACTTTCTTATCAATGAACCCTGACTAATATATATATTAGTCTGTGAAAAAATGAAACTATTTAGAGAAGTCTTTATTTTAACAAAATATGCTACACAAGTGCCTTCAGTGACACAAATTTTCCCCCAAAAGGAAAAAAAATGGTCGTATTCACTAACAAATTAATCTTCAAAGCATCAAATTCTAACCAAATGTCAAGAAATTTCACTTGGCTATGCCCTGAAGCACTGAACAAAAATTTGCAAAATCATATAAACCCACTCCCTTGTGGTCCATAAAGATCAGGAATGTGACATTGATGCATAAGGTCATTCAAAAACTAAAATAGTGCAACATGCAATGTACTTCTGAGCTGGAGTTCTTTTGATGTTGAAAGATGAAAGAAATTGATGTAATACTTCTGAATTTGAATGGGGAACAAATGTGAACAGTATTACAATAATTTCTTATTTGCAATTGTATTAATTTTGTGACGTATACGATCTCAGAGTTAACTGTGATCTGATTCTGTGCTTTATGAAAGAATTTTGCTTTCCTTTTTTCTATTACATCAGCAGAATAATGCTTCCAACTGACTTGTTGGCTGTTTGGGTGACGCTGTGTCATTGGCTGAGAGGCTGACGTTCTGCCTGTCATATCGTAGGCCAACTTCAGGGTAGTGACAGCATCAGTCAACGACATGGTGTCACCCGCACAGCAAGGAAGTCATGAAATCAAGCTGCGGTAGTCAATGTGTACAATGCTTTTAACTGTACATTATTAATAATTATGTATATATGTTTTGAATATGTTATTTTCATTGTGTTTTTTAAACACATTGCTTCTAATGTAATATTTGGAGTTGTCTGTATTAATAGGTTCAGACCAATATAGTCGGGATGAAAATGATGGCAACTGGAGGAATTCAGATGGATCTGAAAGAGGCGCTTTCCAATACCGTGGTGGCCGTGGTGGTGCACCACGCTACCGTGGCCGTGGAAACAGAGGAGGGAGAGGTGGTGGAGGAGGTGGCCGGTGGGGATACCGTCGAGTGGGTCCTATGCTCCGGAAAGCAGATTATCCAGACTACCCTACAGAATATACTCAGGTATCTTTTATTTTCTAAAAGATTATTTAAACATCTATTGTAAATTTGCAACAAGCACTGCCTGTATAAAGTAGTCCTCAGTGGTATACACTGTTTGGTATTCAGTGGTGCAAAATTAAATGGAGGGTTCGCTAACACCATTCGGATACGCTGTAATCCAATGAATGGGGTTTGATAGTAGACCTCTGGACAAAAGCTATACTACAATTTTTTTAATTGTGCACTTGACGGATGAAACCGCAACAGCTGATTTACATTTGGGGAGCTTATATGTCGCTACAACGACGTCACTATGTCCGAGATGTTGAAGTTTCTGGTTGTAAGAAACCGTGAATAGCTGATTTACATCAAGTGCACAGTTAAATAATTGTATGTATAATTGCACAAATGTGTGGGTCTATGGTGTCGTTGTTTTTGTATATTTTATTTATTTTGCTTTCAATTTTGGAGGTGTAGTAAATATAAAGGAACTGTGGATATTAAATGGTTTTCTGTTCATGTTTTACTGAAACTTTCTTTTAACCTGTATTCATAATTCATTTGTTTTGAGTGTTCCGTAAGTAACTGATTCTTTTGCTCGAAAGACAGGACAATGAATACACGCTTTTTCGTTTCAACCTTTCCGTGCCAGTTCCCTTTTCAAATGTTGAACTCGGTGGTGGCCAGCACTCCATTTAAGTGGCGGGTGGGAATGGAAACAGCAGAATTTAATTAAGTGTAAAATTAAGTTTCAACACAAAATATTATCCTCCAAGTACTTGTGATTCTATTGTTATAAATTAGCAACTCAACAATTGATTAGCACTAAAAGTTGCAAAAACCTGCTACCAGTAACGACTGCACGGAAGTGATACGATGGGCCTTTGATAATGAAACCAAATTAATTTCAACATGAAGGTAGTATGTTTGTTAGATCAATCTCGGTGAAGTACCCTCCAAAAAATACTTTAATTTAAAGTAAAATCGGTTTTTCAAGATGGTAAAACAAAAAACAGACCCTTATCAGCCTAATTTTCGAATGAAAGAAATTTTATTTTGTATGGGCTCTAATAGATAAACTTTCATGAGCATCATTTTTAAATTATTGAAGAAATTACTGAAAAAGGGTTTTTCTTTTCTTTTATTCAATGTTGTGTGTGTGTGGTTTTTTTTTAATTTGGTGGTATTGAATGCAATATCTCACTGGGCATTCTATGGAGCAATTGATTAAAAAAAACAGCTGTGAAACTAATTACAATTGGGAGTACATGCTTTTATCCTAGGAATTATGCTGTAATAATCATGCTATTGCCAGTTTCTCTTATGGTACAAGATAAAACTGCCCTAGTTTCAAATTTTGTACACACAACTTATTGGGCGATAATTCAATTTCAGTGTAACAATGTTGATTAATATTCAATGCAGAAAGAAATAAAAGTAAAGGTGCCAAGGTCAACCTATCATATATTAAGAATTGCCATCGTATGGAAATGAAAAAGCATGCAAGAGATGAAATTTATTTGTAAACATTGTTTTCCTAGAGCAATTATTCAGTGTGCCGTTTTTACTAAATAATTATTTAAATGTTTCGTTCATGTTTACTGGCAGCTGTTCTTAATTTGTAGATGTATTAAATGGTCATGCCTTGACTAGAGGCTGGCACGAACATGCCACCTTAATGATTGGAACAAAATATTATCTTCTTAATATTATTTAGATAGATCTCTACTAGCAGTATTAAAATTTTATTCATTTATTTTGCTCTGTTTGATCACATACTTTGAGGTTGGCGACATTGTTATTGACGTCTAGTAAAATGTGTGCCGAACCCAAGAAAATGCAGTATATTAAAATTTACATGAAGTAAACAAACAGGATAAAAGTAAACGACGAATGATTTTGGATGTTGCCATATAAGATGGCACAACCATTCAACACTGGTCTATTATTGAGGGACAAAAGATTGTAACCGAGAAGACAGTGAGTAACTGGGAGGGCCAAAGGACTGGAACGCGAAATTATGGACTTGCCGATCCAGTGGGACAAAGGTGTGGAAAGGGTTAAAGGTGGTGTCTTGTCAGTTACTTAATGTTCCTTATGTGGTTTCCTTTCACTGGTTGTGTTCTTATATGGCACTCGCTTCAACTGTGGAAAATGTAGACAATGACTTAGCAGAATATTTTGTTCTGTACAAAACATTCATACTAAAAAAAGGTAAATTAGAAACATGAACCACTTACTGGAAGCAAACATTTACAATCGTGAAATTACACAATTGTTTTGGAAACTCTTTGAATGAGAACTATTGAGTGAACACACATTGTAGCCACTCAACCATGAAAGAGCTGTTGTCAAAGACACTTTGCTAAGGTTCTGATCACTAATGGAGTCATTTATTCTGTGTTGATATGGATTTCTCTCACGCTGTCACTTAAAATTTAAGGAGTTCTCATTTTTGAAGTGTCTACTAGGATTTGACCCATAAGGTGACTCCACCCATTTGAATTTACTAAGTGGTGAGTTGCTGTTCACTTAATCCCGAGCAATTGATATGCTTGGCAAATGTTCACTTTCTATGATGTGGCCAAAAGATAAACACACTGTGGGTTGGACAAGCACCAATTGTTCACTGCTTGGCAAATAGCAAGCGACCCATCCACTCTGCGTGGAATTTGGTGAGAAGTTGCTCGTTACTTGCCAAATACTGAAGGTGTGGTCTGCCTGTAGAATGAAAGCAGATTAAGTCCAGCCCCTATAGCATATAAGCGATGCTCTCATTGAGACTTAGTTTTAAGATTTACAAATATAAAGGGGGTGTTTGTTAACCCTGAACTTAAGTACCAGGGTCCTTGAGATCCTGATTTAAAATTGAACTTTTACTCCGGTGAAATAAGGTTTGGGAGACAGCAGAGCAGGCAGGCCTCATGGTCTCAGTCATTCCAATGTATAAAGGCTGTTCTTGTTATGATCATGCCAATGTTAAAGGCTGTTATTGCCGTAAGGATCACTGTCTTCAAATAAAGAAGATATAACAGAAAATGTAATAATATTGAGAACATCATCAAATGTTTGTCAAAAAAATTAACAACAGGAAAGTTGGTCAGATGGGGATTATTGGTTGAAAGGAAATTTAAAAAAAATTTGTGGGTAAACTAAAGTGATGGGTCACTTAAGGAAAGTTGTGTGGATATTATCTGAAGATAAACATCAGGATTAGGTCTATTCCTGACATTTATCTTTAGATCATATCTTAGTTTCGCTGTTCCTTATTGACCAACCTATTTATATTATCATAATAGTTCTACTTGCTTAAAAAAGATTCCCAAGGATTATTTGTCATTATCAGAAGTTAATTGAAGTATTTCATTTATAATATAATTTATTAAAGACCTTATAAACAAAGTAATCATCAATCAAATTATTTTCGAGATTTAGGGAAAATCTGTTTTTTCTATGACATAGTTATGGTCTATTAAAAATCTATTATGGTCAATTAACAATCACTCCCTTAAAAATCAGTCATTGAGTGTTTTACCATATATTACTGCGTATTGGGTAGTGGAAAATTAAATGGGAGGGGGGGGGGTGCTAGACCTTAGTTACTCTGTGATTCGTTCTAGCAAAACTTGTTTCATACAAGAACTGCAACAAATTCATATCGTTAGCAGAAAATGCCAAAAGGACCCAGCATTGGTAATTACAAAATGGCAACTTTGTTTACATAATTTTGTACCTATTTTCAGCATAAAATTTTTTTAAGGTGTCACTACTACCACAATCAGAAGCTTGAGCATCACTGGTGATGTTCGATCTCCTGATATTATGACAATCACAGCTGACCCAAGTGTCAACGGACTTAATGTATTAATCACAGTATAAATTCATGTTATATTTACAAATAAATAATCAAAAGCAGACATTTGTTTTCTGTATGTGATAGAAAAATGTAATGTTTCTTTGAAATGAAAGCATCTTCAATCTAGTTGCATCTATTTAGAAATTACAAATGTTTGGCTATTAGTTAATATTGAGCTAAATTGTGTGGATAATATACCACTTAAATGAAAAACTGTTAATAGTTAATTTATTTGATGTCTTGTTATAAAGCCATTTTTGTTCTTGCCTTTGTATTTAATTTCTGCCATTGTAGGTGGTTTTTAATATATAATATTTATATATATATGATATATATATAATATATATATATATATATATATAGTTATTATATATATAATATATATATATATTATATATATGATATATATAATATAATATATCATACATACATACGTGCACACACAGTAAAGTATTCCCAAAATAGGACTCAGTACAGATAACTACTAATTTCAAAAACTTATTTTAATTAAATTTTCTATTCCTGTTTTGTGTCAACAACTTGTATTTTGCAGGTGAATAAATTTCTTCCTGGTGGTGATAACCCTACCTATGTAATGCCCTACATGGGGACCTTTTACTTTGGGACAAACGGTTTTATGAATTTGGATGAACCAACATTAAAAGAATACATCCGGAAACAAATGTAAGTATTTTTCCTCTCGATCCCAATCAATAGTATTGTTGTTTTTGTATGCTGATCTAAAATCATTTTCAGTGAATACTACTTTAGTGAAGAAAATCTACTACGAGATTTCTTTTTACGCCGTAAAATGGATTCGGAAGGTTATTTACCTATTCAGCTTATAGCATCATTCCATAGAGTTCAGGCTCTGTCAACTGATATAAATGTGGTTCTTGATGCCATTAAAGATTCAGAAGTGTTGGAAATCATTGACTATAAGGTAAAATTCTCTCTCTTTCTCTCTCTCTCTCTCTCTCTCTCTCTCTCTCTCTCTCTCTTTTTCTCTCTTTCTCTCTCTCTTTTTCTTTCTCTTTTTTTAATGATGAGATGAAAATTTGAAATACATTTTTTAATTTTCTAATTTGTTATAGGTCCGAACAAAAACTAATCCTACGAAGTGGCCCATAATTGAACCTGCTTCAAAGTCTTTCGATGTGTCAAGCAACCAAGAACATATTTCAGTTGTTCCTCACTTGAATGGTGTTCTCCAATACCCACTTCCTGCAGCAGGGCCCCTGGCTCACATACCTCCAGCACCCCTGCCTCAAAATTTCAGAACATTCCCTGCACCTGTTAGTCAAATAAAGTCTCATCCTGTACCCACTCTTCCAGTGGTAAATGGGGATCCTCAGTTACATGCAGATAATTTGAATCCGGATGTGCCTGAATTTGTTCCTGTTACTGTTCGGGTGCCAGGTGAAGAGGAAGTTAATGAAGAGAAAGATGATGCTGAAGAGAATGAAGCACCTGTAGAAAAAGGGGAAGAGGCAAAAGAATTTCCTGACAAAGTTATAGAAGAAGGAAAGAGACCTGAGAAAACAGGTTGAATAGCTTTCATTTGTGTTATGTGATTGTACCTATTAATTTTAAATGTAGTAATATGATCTCCCTCTGTCTCCTTTTTTTTCCCTTCAGTATCTCCAGTGACCTCGGAGGGACATGCTTTGCTTATAGAGGAGGCCACTCAAGCACTGGAAGCAGTATCAGTCTCTTCTCCCCCAAAGTCTAGCCCTGTACATCTAGCAAATGCTGAAGTGGAAACTTGGCGAGAGGTTTGTATGCTTAGCATTTTGTTTCCAAATTTTGGTTAATTTATAAAGGAGTGTTGATAGTCACCTTGAGAACATTTATCGTACAGTGTGAAACAATTACCAGTTTACATTAAACTTAAACTTCAGAAATTCTAGGATTAAGTTTAATTATTTTTTTACCTTCTGTTCATAGGTCAAGAGGAAAGTTAAATTGCCTCCTAAAGATAAGGTGGAGGAGAAAAGGGGGAAAGAGCAGTTCGAAGAAAGAGAGGAACTGGATTTCCAGTTTGATGAAGAACTTGATGTTCCAGTGCCATCTGGAAGGCACAATACTTTTACTGACTGGTGAGCGTTGTTTATTGGCTGGATACTTTGTTATGGCAATACCATCAAGATATCACATTTGTTAAATGCCAGCTGCAATATGGTTACTCATTGCTCATGAACTTTTCTGTCCTATGTGTGAAGACTCGTTTAGAGCAAGTGGCTCATTTTCTTCCTTGTATTCTCTTATTCTGCAAAAGCATGGGGCACATGCCAAGAGAATGAATGCTTATGTTGCTTCCTAATGCAAACAATATTTTAATTCAACGTTATTTACACACTAATGTTATTTCTGTTCACAATCTTCCTTAGAACTAAATATCTTTCCTCTGTATCATATCTAGGTTATTTAATTTTTAGGTTTGTCCTGTTTTTGTTTATGGTATATTGAATGCATAGTATTAGAAAAAAAATCGATTAAATAATGTTCAGGTTATGATTTAATACTTTAAATTTCAAAAATCCGTACTTAATTCAGTTACCAGAAATCCCTTCAATGAATATTATCTCTCAAATTTTGTTATTGTAATTTGTAAGGATTATCATTGAAATTGCGATAATCCCTCAAAGTATATGTATTGATAACAATAGTTACTTTAAGAGAAGAAATGATGATAAGGTTTTAAAATGTTAGTATTGAAGTTCGTTTAAGTAATAAATGCACAAACAGCATTTGGTTGCATTAAAGAAATACTTCAGATCAAATGTAAGGGAGTGGAAGTCCAATTCTTGTGCATGTATTAAGCAGAACTCGTGATGAAATGTATTAACTGTGGGTATTGTTAAATTATTTAATAGAAATGTTATATGATTTGAGCTGATATGTTAAATACGTCGATTTGGTAAAAGTTCAAGAGTGAATCAGTGTACATATGGAGAGATCGACTCATGAAGTTGATTGTCATCAACATTGTGAAGTAAGACACTGTTGAAAACATAACGGAAAAGGAAAGAATGCAAATAATTATTGTATTTATTGATCTTGTTATTAATTATGTGACTATTTCAAAGAACTTTTACATTGGTATTGTATTGTTATAAAATTTCTGTATGTACATTGTTAATGTTTGTTCTATAGTGTGGTTTCTTTAAATACAAACTATAAATTTGTTTTATAAAATGTATGGGTTTTTTTTATTTTTCATTTTTGTACTATGTGAATATTTGCCATGCCTTTACTGTGAGTGGTAGTTAAATTAATTCTTATGATTCAACACCTAAATCTTACTTTTTCAATATGAATCCAGGTTGGTATAAAAATGGGAACATTAATTTTAGGCGAAAACCGTGCTAAAGGGAGGTAGATACAGTTTGCAGCACTTAGATTTTTACCATTTTTCCACTTTTTGTCTGTAGTAAAATCATACACCACAGCAGTGAAAATGAACCGAGGCACAAAAATATCTTCTACAAGGAAAAATTTGCTTTTAACTTTTTTAATCGAAATTTAATCATGTTTTAAAGCGCTTCCTTTACAACCAAAATTTTTTGAAGGTTTTTATTGAAGTCATCTTTTTATTTGTTGGAAGTATAGGTACAAAACAATGCTCATCATTTAAATCTCTGAACAAATATTTTTAATTTATATCCAAAATTAATATATTGATAGAATTGTTTTAGATTTATATTTTTTTTTTATCACAAAAACTATTGATCTGAAGTACATGATTTAGCTTAGTTTTGTAGATATTTGGTTAAATGCATCCTAAAATTTTCATAGCTTTAACATGATTTGTTTTTGAGTTACAAGGGACACTGATCATATCTGTTATTCTGGAAAATGAGAGATGAACTTCGATGCATGATTTTTTTCTTACCTTCTCTATTAGATGCAGCAACGTGAACCTTTTAAATCGTGATTCGAAAACAATTGCATATAACGTTATTTTTTCACCATAATATTTCAAAATAATTAATGCATAGAAAAAAATCGTTTTCAAAAATAATTTAACGTGTATCTCCTCCCTTAGAGTGAGACGGTTACTTGGTTTTTACATAATTAGTTCTACATTTAACCACTCGAAAGTGTTTGCTGCTCGGAAAGGAAGATCGTGGGTTACACTGAACACCCATACAGACTGGAAATAGATTTCTTACCTTCTGTGTACTCGTCTAATGTGTTTCACTGTTCTATAGAAAATGATCAAGATATTCATAATTGTTTTATCCTTTCACAGGTCAGAAGATGAATCTGACTACGAATTGAGTGATCATGAGATCAACAAAATTCTGATAGTGACTCAAGTTACTTCACATCCATCACGTTGTCCTAAACATGAGGGCTATGATCGAACTGGTGATTGGACCACAAGGGTAAAAATAACTCAGGATCTTGAACAAGTCATTAATGATGGGTTATACTATTACCAAGAAGGTCTTTGGACTGAAAATGATTGGGTAGGTTTTTTGTGACGTCTGAATGTGATGGGATGAAAAGTGATCAAATTGTTGTAGATATTGAATCCTTAATTTTTCAATTTGTTTTATTAGCATTGTGTTGCAGATACATTTTACCATTTGAAATTGGTTACATTACTGCTTTTTTACCTTCATACTCAAAACCTCAAAAATTAAACATTGATAATGAGGTGGTTAGGCTAGTTTGGATAGATATTCATTCTTTCTTTAATCATCAAACTGAAATGGTTTTAATTTTCATAGGAAATCAGTTTTTTTAAACTTGAATTTTTCTATTTTTTGGACTTTTTGGAATAGTTAACATCAAATTTTCTATTTACTATAGCATTGTTAACTTTGTCTTCATGAAAATGCCATTCATCTATTATTAAGATAATTACATCTCTGTAGAAATTGTGTGTTTTTCAGTTGTTGTTTCTTCTTTTTTTCCTTCAACAATTTTACTATTTGCTACATATTAACATACTACATATGCAACTTATTATATATTGCTGCAATGAGAGTGGCAATTTCTCAGGAGAAAAATTTGTATACTATGTCTAATGCTGAAAAATGGTTAATTATTATTATACGTTGTAAATTACTTTTATCATGTTATGTGGTCAGAAAGTAAGTTTTGTGGGACCTTATTACTGAAAAGATGGTTTAGAACAAAGTCTTATCTACCTGAACAACACTAGTGGCTAAATGGTGAAGAGGATTGTCATCGAAGTTGATATTCCCCGTTTCATTTGGCTGAGAATGTGGTCAATTGGGTTTTAATTTTAGTGGGTACTTTACAAAAGGTTTCCAGGATATCTTCAAATTTATCAAGTCACCAAATTTTTGCTTATAACTTTTATCGGATAGAGTAAAGTACTTTTTAAAATTTCCTCAGGTTTTTATTGAATTCTCTAAATTTTTGTAAATCTGTGCATTTTTTAAATTTTTTAGTATTTTCCTACAACATTATTGAAGATAAAGAATTTTCTGCTGTATGAAACTGTTCCTCCAAATTAGATTTTTAAATAAGATTGTGTAGAATTTTGAGTAGTTCCTGCATGAAATAAGGAAATTTGAAAAGGCTTTCCTCAAAAACCTGCTTCAAATTTTTATTACTTATAAAATAATGGTGGCAGCAAAACAAGTTTATATAAAACATTTTTCCTATAATTTTTTCTGTAAGATGGAAAATATATTTACAGCGAATAGCACAATTAAGATCTCCATTGAACTCAGAATTTTCTAAAATTCCAATAGTTACAGATAATGCAAGAAAGCAGGTGCTATTTAGCACCTATGGTCTAATTTTTTATATACAGAACATATCCATTTGTGTGGTATTCAATGATAGAAAGGCGAATGATGGAGGAAGTGGTGTCTAAAACAGGGTTGTTCAACTTGCAAGGCCCCAAGGGCCACAATTAAAATCTTTAATATGGTTGCAGGCCATATCATAATTACTCCGACTATCCACATGTGATTTCCCCGTATGGTTGCTCTTTGCCTGGCTGCTCTGAAACAGAGGGTTGGGGTGAAACCATGCGTGATATCAGGTCGTACTATGACTATCAAAGTGAAATGGGGATGATTTTGAATGTCACAATTGACTAGAAAAAAAATTAAATCCTTTTCTATCATTAAATTAAAACCTATTTTTTGAATAAAGGAGGGGTGTTTATCCAAGCTGGGCACGCACATTGAATTGAATTTGCCTTATTTTACGTGGCGAGACTCGGGCCATCAGGCCCGCTCTTCCGTCTGACCATGCTAATTCCGCTACGCTCCTTTCACCAACTAGGAGAAAAAGGAGGTATTTCTTAGGCGAGAAACAGACGATTTGAATTTAGCTCAGAGGCGTCATTTAGGCTTGAGGATCTTTTACATGCAAGTAAATCTACGAACATGGGACAGCCGGCTTTACTTCCCCTCCGAAGGAAGGCGTACGAAGGATTTTTTCGCCCTTAAAAATCCACGGCTTTGATCGGGTTTGAACCTGCCAACTTGGGTACAACAGTCTAGTACACTAACCGTTACACCATCACCACTGCCACATTAGACGCATAATGTTCTTACCTGACATGAATGAAGGGTTTTTTACTTTTGACCAATTTTTCGTGGTCCACTGTATATGGTGGTGTTTTTGTCTCCATTTTTAAAGTAGATGTATTACTTTATTATTGTATACATTCATAAACACAACTTGATTACTTTGGAGTGTCTTTTAAGGGAAAGAAGGAAGGCAAGGGAAGCAGACTTGGAGCCTCTGAATAGTCTGTGTGTTCTTTAAGAGCTTGTCAAGGCTCTTGAAACCTGAAATTTTAAAGAAAAGTATTAATCGACTTGGAACACAGCTTAAATTTTTTAAAATAAAGAATTCAAAAAAGTTTGAATGAAAATAATACATAAAACCCTGTGTATTGGGTTCTTTCTTTATGAGCACTTTCAAGCAATAATTTGGAGAAATTTTTTAGGAAATGTGTATGTATTTGTGAAAAATTCTTTCTTTGTAAATTTCGTTACATCTATAGATATTTTCAAAAAGTAATCTACAGACCTTATTTCAAGATCTAATTTGGATAAACTGATTTCATTGAGAAAAAAAGCTTAATCTTTAATAATGTAGCTGCAGGAAGGGGAGCAGAAATGTTTACGATTTTCAGAAGTTGAGTTTAATGAAAATCTGACATGCTGTGTTCTTATGAGCCCTCTTAGCTCTAATCAAGCAAAAAATTTAAAAAGTATTCATGAGCCTGTGTTCAGAAAATTTGTAAGAGGAGTAACATCAATAAGATCGATCAGGGAATGTCCATTTTTTAACAATTCTGTTTGCATACTGGTGTTAAAGCACCAAGACATGCAGTCTTGGAGGGGGAAAAACAATTTTTTGATGGCATTAACAAGTGCACACTTACTCATGTGTTTCTGTGAAAATCTCAACAAACAGAAAACTTTCTCTATGCTATGTATAAGAGAAAATAAAATGAAATAAAGGATTACTCTTTTTAATTTTGTGAAATGGTGAATTTGGATGTACATTTCTCTCATCTTTTAATAATAATATTCAAAATTAAAGCAAGTCACGATTCCTTATCATGATTCAGAAATAACTACTACTGCTTCTCTCTGCTGAGATTTTGGCAGTATTGTCTTCATGAATTCAATAGACATGCATCAATATGTTATCCAATGCATGTTGTACACAAGGACATAGCCTTAAAGGAAATGTATGTACATACTTGGAGCAACAGCCCATAAATGGGTTCTGGCCTATCGGTAAAGTTACTGCCTCGCAACCATTGGTTAAGGGGGTATGTGTGGTTAACAAGTAGACATCCCCATGCCTTATTCCAGTCTTCTCAACCTGAGAAGTGAATTTTTTTCATGGTCACTCAGCAATATATACTGGAAGCGAGGAAAATGCGTACTATAATCTTGCCTGTCTGGGAATCAAATCAGGGACCACTTAGTGGAGCATGCTGACTTAGAGCTAGCCATGAGGTTTAAAGGAAATGTTACAAAGTATATATTCTAGAAAATAAGGGGACAACAGCAGAATCAATAGGAATGAAAATATTTTTGAAAAGGAACTTACTACGTAATACTGAAATATGAGTGAGTAGAGAGTTCGTAAGTGAAATATCTTTACATTGTAACATAGGACATGTAAACGGGGATATCAAATGTATACATGAAACTGGAATGTATGTAATATTGAAGTACGTTGTGAGATTTACCTGTAGTTAATTTTATGTGGCCTACAGATTGGCTTAAGTTCAGATCTGTAGGTTCTTGGTAATTTTCAATCCTGTCTTTTCATCCTGCTTTTTGTAGAGTACCAAAATCTGCGCTTTCTAATCTTGCCAAATGTAACATTGATATGAGCCGTCTGCGGTACTAGCCTGTTACTTTCATCCTTCAACCCACAGAATTTGCAAACTAGCCATAAGTCTGAAAAAAAAGTTATTTTGTTTAAATGTTTTTGGCGTTAAGAATCGTGTGATACCATTACCTACAAATGTTGTTTTAAATCATACTACTTTTTCGGTTCAAAAGGTGCTGTGGTTACAGAGTGAGTTATCGATTTTGGATTTTCTGTCCTGTTACAACTGAAGTAACACTGCTTAGAGAGAGTATGAAAGGAGAATGGTTATGTGAATTAAATTAGTATATCTATAAATTTGAAATACTATTTTCGTACTAAGAGAAAGTTATGTAATGCTGCACAAAAAATTCGTGAATTTTTGGCAGAAAAACTTATTGCTTGGACCTGGTAAAGATAAAGTGGATAAATCCAGTTGCTTAATTTAGAGGGGGGGGGGGAATCCTCTATCATGTGGTGTAGCCAGAATCCAAGTTTTGTGAGTTGTTGATACCGAAAAAAATTCAAAGACTACTAAACGTATGTCTCTGTTGACAATTCTAGCAGCTAAATTGTTCAGCCGATTTTCTGTAAAATTAATTTTCCCTGGTTGCTCTTACTGAGGTTGTTGCCCCTGGGATTTGAAATAGATTTTTAACTTCTTGGAGGTGACTTTACATGAATCCCTTGAGACATTTTCCCACATTTTAAGGGGGGGGGGGAAAATTGCTCAATTGTTTTTCTTCACATTTTGTTATTGGATAGTATGAAGGACATTTAAGAAAATGGTGCAAGCCTCTTATTTGTTAAAATCTTTTTCTTCTTCTTTTTTTCCTTTCTTTCTTTCTTTTTTCCCCCTTTCTTTCCTTCCTTTTTTTTGAATTGCAAAATTTAAAAAAATAATTGGAGTCTACTTAAAACTGTCAATAATGATGTCAAATCATCTCAGAATAGACATTTTCAACCCTCACCCTCTCCGAATTTAATGAAACTTGGTGCACTTCTTCTTTATCATACATGAATTATCTCTGTAAATTTTTAAAACTGTAATATTATTGGTTTGCAGTTTACATCACTTTGAAAATCGAAAAAAATGTGTAGATTTTGGGGCAAAAACGGTAATTTAAATTGCAATATCTTCCGCTCCATTAAATGTAGAGCAAAAATGTTTATCTCATTGGAAAGCTGACATATTATTCCATATAAAGACGTAGGAATTGTGTGATGAATTTTTCAATAAAAGCGTAAGCTTTTAAAAGTAAAAGTAAAATTTATTTTTAAAATTTTGTTGGAAAAAATAAATAATAATGTGCAATATGTATTACCTTATTGGTGAAAATTTGAATTTGGGATGGCAACGCAGCACGAAGTAATGATTTGAAATTCTTCTCCATGCTCCCACGGAGGCGCTAGCTGGCTACCGTGAATGGAAGCTCTGTTCCCCAGCACCTAAGTTGTCAGGAACCGCAGACCCCACCAATATTAAAAATTACGAAAGTTCAAATTTTAAATTTTTTTTCTTCAAACTAAATTTGTTCCCTACAAGTAGTAAAATTTGGGCAATAATATAAACAAGATTTTCTCAAAAGCTATAACATTTTCTTCCAACTTATTAAATGGAATGCTCTGCATAAGATAATGCAATTGCCATTTTTTATTTACATCTTTCTTATGATAATATTTAGATCACTGGCAAACTGTATTCATTATGGCATTTTTTAGAACAAGTTCTTCAAATGCTATTGTGTAAAGTTGCCTGAAAACACGTTTTCTGTGAAAATGAGTTCAAAATTCTGCATTTTTAGGAACTCAAGTGTGAACTTGAACAAATTATTTTTAAGCACCAATAGATGGCGGCTGAAGAGACTGTGGGAAAAACAATCAAAAAGAAAGCTAAGAATAAGGCAAATAGCGAGTACTAGAAAGTTTGTGCGATTCTGTAGCATCATTAGTTATTATTTTTCACTTTGCATTTCACGTTATCAGTACAAGGTAATACCTTTGGAAAAAGATTCCTTACCAGCTTTATGTGAATCGCTTAGCAAATTCATAGCGGATGCCACGAATATCATTATAGATATTCCTGATATTTATATCCTCTTCGCAGCTTATTATTAGATCAACATTTACGAATTTCATTATATAGAAAGGCAATGTAAAATCATCAATCTTGATCTCCTAGACTGTATTGGAGAATATATGATGAGCTCGTATTATGTTGGTGAAATGTTTAGGAAAACACCTAGTCTTTATGTTGGAATGAATATGGTAAATCCACATTGTTGTTTCTAGTACTGACCTTCTGCCTCTGAATCAACCTGCCTTTAGTGACAACTTATTGTTTTTTGTTTCGTTTTTTTAACTTAAAAACATGGTGTCAGTGAAAACCTTGTACGAATTGCGTGAATCCCAAGTTTTGACAACCCTTAGCCTATGATTTAATGTTAAGGTGATGTACATCTTGGGTAAAGTAAATTCTCATTGAAGGTTGCTCCTAGTACTGGCCTCTTCTGTTTCCGAATAAGGTCGCAATTGGTGCCACATCTTATTGCTTTTGAAATCCAAACAGGATCAGTAAAAACTGTGCTTGAATTGTGTGTATCTTAATATTTGACAGCCTCTAGCCTACAGTTTAAAATTTGTGGTAATGTACATCTAGGGGAAAGATTAGGTTGCTCCTAGTACTGCCTGTTTGATATGAGGAAACTGAGGGCAGTAACTTATGCAAATATGGAGATGGATTCACTTATTTATAAAGTGCCTTTTATTTTAAATCGTCATTTACTAATGGGTATCAAGGCCAATCATTTTGCTAAGTCTTTTTATTTGATGTTTGTATGTTCCTTTTTTGAAGCAATTAAATTTCATGTGAATTTGATTTTAATGTGCACTTTCTTGTTGTAATTAGTTGTGTATAAATGGCGCTGAATTATGCTCTCTCTGGTAGATGTAGGTAAACGATATCATTTTTTTTTTTTATGAATTTTGCTACATAGCTTGCTTGCTTGCAACTTTGCTCCAATTGTGTCAATCCCCGTATAAATATTTGAATTAGATTTACATCGAGGTTTCATCTGATTTTCTGTGTTTTTCAGAAAACTTAGAAAAGTTGGCCTCAGTAAAAACCTTATCCGTGTTTAAATATAAATGTTTTATTGTTTGCAAAACTGTTTTTACAATTGTGATTTTACTCTTCTTAGGTGCCACAGCCTTCTGGAAGTTACAAGACTGTGAATATCATTACTCAAGAAGATTTTGAGAAAATGGCACCACAAGCTCCAAGGAAACATAATCCTGACGCACCTCCACCGCCACCCCCCCCTTCCTTAACTCAGTCATTTGCATCAGAAGATGAAGAAATAACGACATCAGATGTTCTTCCAGTCTCGGTAAGTTTGTACACTTGCAAAATAGAATTCATAAATAGAGACGAATTGTTTATGGTTAAATCAGTCGTTTGTCCTTTATTACTTCTCATAAACATACATATTTGGAGTAATACATGAAGAATAAAGAGTTAAATAATGCTGCGGGTAATTGATTTCCAGATTTTAACAGAAATGCATGGTGTTAAGTCCCCTGACATTGCTAAAGTTGTTTTTCCTCCAAAACATCTGTAAACAACACAAGCATTCATAGGATTTTTTCCAAAATAAATATTTCTCGATCAATCTGGCCAGACCCATAGCCCTGACAATTTCAACTGAATTCTTGCAATTTTGAAAGTACCTTTCGCGAAGCTCTTCAGAGAGATTCAAATCGTTCTGAAATTGTGTATGGAAGAAAGAAACCCTTAATGCTGGAATGTAACATGCCTTTAAGTAGCAAGTTGCTTTGCCATGAATTTGGCAAAAATGTACTTTAGGCAGTGATAGATGGCAGCTGGCAAGACGATGGGGCAAGTCAGAATAGCTAGCATACCACAGAAAATACAAAAGTAGTACGGGAAAGTTTGTGCAATTCTGTTGTACCACTAGTTTGGAGATGCTAAGGAAATTTTTAACATTTTCAATTCATTAGATATATTTCTTGGTTAAGGTATAAAATTATAGTAAATTTTTAAGTAATTAATATTTTTTTCAATGCTTGGTTATAATATAGATAATGGTAAACAGTTTATGCAAGCTTTTTAAAGCTGCAACAAGAGTGAAATCTGCAATACAGCCACCTCTTATTCATAGATTTTGTATGAATGTAAATGAGTTTCTAAATTTCTAGGTAATCAAGTCTTCTTAAAGCATTTCACTAATTTAAATATGGTACTCTAAGAAATTTTGTTTTAAAAAAAGCGTTTTAGTGCTCTTCGAAAGATAGATGTCCAAAATGCTCAACTACAAGTTTGTGAGGTTCTTAAGATAAAGCACATCGTACTTTCTCTTCAAAACAGGAGATCATTTGACCAAGTATTCTCCAGTTCAGAGTGGTGAGCAGAAATGCTGCTGAAGGTCTGGTAGCGGAAGCAGTATTGCAAAGCTCTTTCTTTTCTCTGTGTCTGGAACACAAGGGTTTTGTTTTAAACTGATCACCCTGTGAAATGACTTTGTGTTTGGATACATATGTTAAATATTTGTGTAGGCTCCGGTAGCTGTGGAGGTAGCTCCCAGTACATCTGATGACCAAATAGAATCAAATCGTGCACGACATGTACCTCATCCTCGAGCACCTAGATTCTTTGCTGTGGTAAAAAATGAACCATCTTTGGACGTGCGTACACCACGTAAACAGAAAACACGACATAGTAGTAATCCTCCTGTGGAGCATCATGTGGGATGGATTATGGATGTACGAGAACACAGACCAAGGACAAGCTCAATGAGGTAAGAGAAGAATTTAATAATATACTTATTTATTTTGTACAATTGGGATTGATGCATTAATGAGCTTTTTTTGTATGCATGAAGTATTAGAATTGCTGAGTAAGTGTAAATTGTGTCCTCTTCATATTTTTGTATATTGCTTCGGAAATCTATTAGTACACATTTGTTTAGGAGATTCATCGAGTGGAATGGTCACTGATTTAGTGTGCTTGGAAGGACGGATTTTTAGAGTTTTGTAGGGAACTGTGGTTTCAATGCTAATGTGTTATTTCAGACTTGCACATAATTTAGTTTACAGAAACTATTCCAGTTCAAGTGCTTGAGTTTTAAGGGTAAATAAAATCCTTTATAAAATAATTGATGTTCCAAAATACAGATAAGCGAAGGAACAGCAAGGTTAAGTGACATACTAAATTTACGAAATATTTGTCATCTCTTGCTTGTGTATTCGGCTATATGACACCGATATTATTCTTTTCTGCCAATCATAAGGAAAAGACAAAAGAAATATTGACAAATTATAGATGGATGGATATTATATGATATGAGGTAAACTGACAGCCGTGAAAATACTACAGATCAAACATTTTTATTAAGAACGCTTCAATCAAAATTGTCTATTTTAGGTAAGTGTTCTGTGCAATGGTCACACTATGCACTTAATGGGAAGTGGAGAGAAAACTTGCAATTTTGTAAAATTTTGGCTTTCCTTCTTAAAAATTACTGTACTGAGATCCTATGCAATATGTGTGTATTTCTTAAATGAGCTTTAATTTAATGCAACAATTAGGTTGTAAACAGATGACATGGTCAATCTTTTCTTGTAAAGATTTTTGTTGTTGTTTAGTTGTCTTTCAAGGATATAGAACAATAAATGAAATTGTGGCTGTTTTCATTAAAATATATTTGAATTTTCAAAGAATTTGGAAGGATTTCTTTAATTCACCTGTGAAGGGATTTTAAAGGCTAGCTGAAATATTAGTAGAAAAGACATAATACTTTTATAAACTCAATTATTTAGTGGAAGGCAACTTGTAAATCTCTTTTCAATCTTTCAGTGCCTTTTAATGGTCAACACCATCTTACTTTCCCTCTTTTCTTTCCTCAGCTGAAACCTGTAAAGGGGTATCTCTAATTAAAAGGGGAAAAAAGATTTCTCCTTTTCTTATTCAATACTTCTGACAATATTGTTTGAAATCTGTAATGGAAGTTAAGAAAGAAAAAGGAAAGGGGGATAACAAACAAAGAAAGAATAAACAAAAAACATTCTTTTATTTTTCTTTGGAAAGGGAATAAAGTGTAATATTTTTATTTATTTGTTGTTTATATTTTTTTTATTCATGTTTTTAGTAGTAGTGCTGGAACAAGTCCTAATGAAGGCTATTTAGCGAGCAGCTATGGAAGTACACCACAGTCACTGCCAACATTTCAACATCCTTCACATTCCCTTCTCAAAGAAAACAACTTCACGCAAGAAGTGTATCACAAATACCATTCTCGGTGCTTAAAAGGTAGGTTTCAGATTTTTGCGAGTAGGATCTGTTGTAATACTGTGACTAATTTTAAAAAAAAATCTTTCAGAACGCAAAAGGCTAGGGATTGGCCAGTCTCAAGAAATGAACACTCTGTTCAGATTCTGGTCTTTCTTCTTGAGGGAAAATTTCAACAAAAAGATGTACGAAGAATTTAAGACTTTAGCATTAGAAGATGCTCATGAAGGTTATAGGTAAATAAATGATCTATTAATGTAATATTTATGATTAATGTGATGTAGATTTTTGTCATTTCCATTTAAATGCTATGTTTTTTGTTGTTTCTTTATCCGGTTTCACCTTGATTTATGAAATACAGAATGATCCTTAATTTTTCATCTTGGACATAAATAATTTTCTTTCTCTAACTCCTCCCCTGTGCACAATTCTTCATTGCACACACTAAACACTCTACAAATAAGAAAGATACCTTGAACTTCTTTTTTCACTTTTTGTAGGTCAGAGAAAAGAAGAGACTTTTGTGTATACAGTGAAATCTGTGTAATCAGGAACCTGTACAAGCAGGAAACCTGCCAATCTAAAGTTCTGTAAAGTTGTGCGTTATAATCTAGGAGGACGTAATAGATGAGCTTAAAAACTTCTTTTGAACTACAAAACACGTTACTATAATCAGTAGAGGCTGAAGTTTAGACACTTGTACCTCAGATAGGTAGACAAAGATACTAAGATACTTATCTAATGTATAAAAATCAGTTGGTTCGTGTTTAAAGCGCTGCAGTACGGTTTCTCCGATGGCAATAAAACTTAATTGCTTGCACTCAAGAGAAGGATATAAGCATAGCACAATTGTGACTCCACTAGATGGCGCTGCAGCACAAGACTGGTCTTCAGTTAAACCTTTTTTGCTCGTGTGATCTTAAAGGACTCGCACAAATGTACTCCTCACCTCTTTTTGTACAAAATTAAATATTGTGTCTAACAATTCTAAAATTAATTTTTATTATTATTAAAGGATGATTTAATGTCAAAATAATAGATTATATTGTTGCACACATTGTGCTTGTTGCGTGTTTAACATATACCCATTCATTACATTTTGCACCTGTTCGTTGTGTGGATTTATTCTTGGCTTTGTCACTTATTTTGCAATGTACTTTGGATTTGAGATTTCACCATTTCCTAACAATAGTAAGGATCATAGGTCTGTAACTCATCTGGTACTGCAATCATTGCTTCCAGTCTTTTTCATCAGAGTAGCAATATGTCGTGTCTACATATCAACAGTTGGCATGTCTACATATATCTTAGATTCAACGAATTCAAAGAAATTTTAATGTTAACTTACTCGAAAAATTGTCAATTGATAATTTGCACAGGGTACTAATGTACACCATTGACACCTAACAACACTTCAGCCATTTCCAACTTTAATTCTTGTGCAATAGTGAGCATGGTACTTCTTAAATTATTAGGTCTGAACATGAATGGTAGACTCTGCAAATCCCAATTGCATAACTCTCCCCAACCTAATAAAAATAACTTTCCAAAACTCAGTGGAGCACAATTGTACTCCTTGTGACTAACAAAGGATTAAATGCATTTCCTAATCCTCTAATAATTTAGCTTCATTGTTGTTAGGCGTTGCCATGTGATGCTGGGCGATGTCAGGGAGGGCAGGAGCAAGTTAGAGAGAAAGAGACGTTTGACAGGTTCTACTATGCCTATATATTAAAAACCACGAACAGTATCAATGTGGGATTTAATGATTAAAAATAGAAAGGGTGAAACTAAATATATTTAAAGAGAAAATATTTTTATTTTAAAGAAACCATTCAAGAATACGTTGATTTGAATCATATATCATCAGTAGATATAAAGACTGATTTTTTAAACAAAGGCAGCGGTAAGTAATAAATTGTTGAAATGCTTGGAAAATAGTTTATTCAATGTGAAAATATCATTTAAAATAGTTCAGTCAATATGAAAGTCATTTAAAATTCAGGGGGAGATATGTTGTTCTGTTGTTTGATTGACATTATTTATATAAAATTTATATCGCCAGTTGTATGTTGGATGTTCAAAAAATCAGGCAGTCAAACAATTTTCTTTTTAAATTTTTTTTTTTCTTTTCTTTTTTTCTTCTTCTTCTTCTCCAAAAAAAAAAAAACGGGGGGAAAAGAGTGGTTATTCTAAAGCACTCAAATAATAAAGTCAACAAAATAGAAGAAATATTATCCATATGTATCCTTTATAGATCATTCTTTGTCTCATTCCTAATGAACCAAGATAACTCTTCAAATTTCAAATGATATTCCCACAATTATTTTTCTGTGACTGTAAAACGCTGGGTACCAAATAGTTCTGTCTACAATATGACATACATTCTAAAAAGCTATATGCAGTCTTAGTATGTTAAATTATTAAAAAATTAGACAGAGAGAGTGTGTGTGAGTGACAGAACACGTGTGTGTGAGTGACAGAGTACGTGTGTGTGAGTGACAGAGTACGTGTGTGTGAGTGACAGAGGTACGTGTGGTGGAGATGAGTGGAGAAGTACAGATGTGTTAGCTGAAGTACGTGGATGGCCCAGAGTAGTGGTGTGTGAGTGACAGGAGAGAGTGTGGTGAGTGAAGAGAGATGAGTGTGTGGAGAGTGGATGGTACAGAGAGAGTGTGACGTGATGACAGAGAAGAGCGTGTCGAGTGTGTGAAGAGAGAGAGATGTGTGATGTTGAGAGAGAGAGAGTGAGTGTGTGGTGTGTGAGAGAGAGAGAAGAGTGTGGTTGGAGAGAAGAGAGAGTGTACTTGTGTGTGAGTAGAGAGAGAAGAGTTGTGTGTGTGAGAGAGAGAGGAGTGTGTGTGTGAGAGAGAAAGAGAGAGTGGTGGTGGTGGGAGAAGTGTGTAGAGAGAGAAGAGGCTGTGGAAGAGAGTGTGGTGTGTGACAGGGTTGAGGAGGAGAGAGAGAGGTGTGTGTGTGAGAGAAAGAGTGCTGATTGCCTGGATAATAGCCTTGTGAGAGAGAGAGAGAGTGTGTGTGTGTGAAGAGCATGAGAAGAGTGTGTGTGTGTGACGATGAGAGAGAGAGTTGATGTAGTGTGGAGAGATGTGTGACTGACGAGAGAGAGGAGAGTTGTGTTTGTGTGTGAGAGAGAGAGAGAGAGAGAGAGAGAGAGAGAGAGAGAGAGAGAGTGAGTGAGTGTATACGTGGATAATCTTCAGATGTATCTTAAGTTGTCACCAGTCTCACCTCTTCTCACTCACAAAAATTTAACGGAGATTTAATAACCTTGAAAAGGCAATATCTTTCGGCTTGCAATTTAACCCAAGTAAATCACAATAACTGGTTATCTATTTGAAAAGAACTATGAATAAAATCTCTTCTTCTCCTCTGCCTAAAATTTATATTAATGACCCAGTTCTAACTTGATGTTCCGAAGTTAAGAACTTAGAAGTGTTTATCGACAACACCCTTTGCTGGAACTTGCGAGTAGATTCAACCTGCCATAAAAGCTTTTGCCTTGATGCTTTCGCTAGCGATGCTTCGTCGCCATCCCAAGACGCCTTTTCAATTTTGTGTATTAATCCTAATATCTAAATTAGAACTAATACCAGTAAGCATGTACCAAACAGGAAAACATAATTTCTGAGCACAAATATATACATACATGCATGCATACAAACAAACATACAAACAAAAAAACAACTATCCTTCCATCCTTCCAACCATCCACCCATTCATTCATTCATTCGTGTGCATGCGTAAAAGTAAATAAAATGTTGAGTCATGAAATTGACGAACTGGTATTAATATGATTGTGTTTCTTGTGTCGTGCAGGTATGGTTTAGAATGTCTCTTCAGATACTATAGTTATGGCTTAGAAAAAAAGTTTCGTCCAGATATATATAAAGATTTTCAAGAAGAAACAATGGCAGATTATGAATCAGGTACAAGTCTTTGGGTGTTTTTATGTTGTACAAATTTAGTGATGTAATTTGCCAAGCATTTGTAAACTAATGATTATTTTATAGGCCAGCTGTATGGTCTAGAAAAGTTTTGGGCCTTTCTCAAATATTATAAACATAGTCCCAAACTGCAAGTTGATTCCAAATTGACTGGATTTCTTTCTAAATTCAAGAGTATAGAAGATTTTAGGGTTGTTGAGGTAAGTTCAATTCTAAGTTTCAGGAATCTTCTTACAAACTGTGTGATTATTAATTTTTTGTAAATTTATAAATGTGAAAAGTTTTTAAAATTGGGATCATTCTGTTACATTATTAGTGAAGACAAGGTTTTCATACACTATCAGCTCCTAAAATGTGCATGAAAACAAACATTGGCTATCAAATAGCCAAATGAGCATATTTATGGGTAATGGTTTGAATATACACTTCCAAATTTAACAATTTTGTCCTAAAAAACAATTTCAAATTTACTTAAGTATTGCGAAACAATATAAATATACTTAAAAGGATGAAATTTGCTGTTCTTTCTCACTTCCAAAACTAGAGCAATATTAACTCATCTGCTTGGAATGACTTCTTGAGAACTGCCTTTTTCTTCAAATTATTAGTTCAGTGATGAAATGAAGACAGGATATTCCTGGACGTATCATGGGGTGGATTATGCAGGGAATCGAAGGCTCTCTCTCACTTCCTTGTGTAATGTAATGGCAAATCGGTCAGTTTCACAACTGTAGTGGCAACAAAGGAAATATATTGAATCAGGATTTTACTGTATGAAAAAAGATTGTTAGTACTTGCTTTTTCCAGATTTACAAGAATGCGCAGTTTAATGATAAAAGGACTTGCTTCCATTTTGAGATATCTAAAATATGTAACTTACGTACAACCTGCATTAATATTAAAGTTGGTACTAGTTTTGCAAAAATTGCTAATAAAACGTACCCAACATGCTAGATATATTCACCATATTATTCAGAAAAAAATGTAAATTAATCCATTATGCATACAATTTGGGAGGGCATTCATATCAAACAATTGTGCGTGGGAGAAGTATACGCTTTATATGTGCATGCTAAAATCTCAAACATGGTTGAGAGCTCTAGTTGCATAAGCACAAGCATAAGAGTGGAAATCCTGTCTTTAATTATCAGATTATATTCTGTTTTGCAAAATTGTTGAGAGGTTTGAAAGTTTTACAAATTATTTTTTGTCTGATACTTAGCCAGGTGATGAAAATGCAATTCGAGAAAATCAAAGAATACAAGCCATGAAGCGGCGAAATAGAAGTGTATCCGAAAGCAACAGTGCAGATGTGAGACACAGACATACATCACAACTCCAGAAAAGAGTCAGACGTTTATCTGGAGGTTCAGGAGCATTTGGAGGTCCAAGTAGGCAACGTGCAGATTCTCTAGGAAACTGCTCCCCAGATCCCTTCAGAGTTCGGTGCAAGCAAAATGTCTCGGAAACCTTTGGATCAGGGAGAGTTCGAGCAGATTCTTTTGGACCTTCTACCTCAAGGAAGCGATTCGATTCTGCTCCATCAGCGTGTGCCAGTCAAGGTTCAAGCAATAGAAATAGAGTAAATTTTGATTTGGGTGATAAGAAAATTAGTAACAGTAATGTTAAAAGTGACTCAAGCAGTGTGCACCCTGGAACTTCTAAGAATTCTGATGTTAGAGAAGTGAATCCTCCAACTTCCACTTCAAAAGCAAGTCATAAAAAGAAGGAATCTCCACAGTCAAGTAATACCATAAATGAGAATTCTAAGACTACTTCTAACAAGGCAGATCCCAAATTAAAACCTGAATCCACTTCTCATAAGGATTCAAAGAAGTTGTAAAATACATTGGTGCTCATTTCATTGTTGTTCAATTCATTCTTTCAGGAATAATCCCAATGTGAAAAAATTCTCAACAAAACATGCTCTGGGTATTGCAAAAATGTTCTAAGAGCCGTAATGGAGTCCTTTATATTGTTAATGTTCAGTAGCTGCTGTAAACATGATTGAGTTACGGAAAGCAGACAGTCTTTATGAGCACGTTCCCTAGTCTGGTGAGCACTTGTAGCACTAGCTACGTAGTGCCCGTGTTCTGTGAACATATGCATTTGCATTCCAAATCTTTTATAAGTATGTTTAGTGTTCTCCTGAAAATATTGTTGAAGTTGAAGTGAGGAGAAAACAATGCCTGCAGTGTACTTGTCTCCTTGTTTAATCAAGTAGATTTCAGGCATTACAGCTTATTGGCATGCAATGAAGCACCTAAGAGACTTAAAAAAATTGTATGCTCTTCTCTGAAGACTAATCATGTGCTATAACCTTGCATGCAAATTCATTGAAAATATTGTTTTAACTACGCAAAATATTTATAATCATGTTCCAATAAAACATTCAGCATTTGGTTCCATTATATCGACATTGAGAAATTACATAAATATTTTTACAGTAAATCTTTTCGTGACTGAAATTTCAAATTTTTTCTCATGTGGTGCCATAAGCAGGTTGGGAATGATTGTTCTCGATTTTAATACATTAATCGCTAATTTTGAACCATTAATTATGAGCCATATGCTGAATTGTGACAAGTAAAATAGCAATTATGATTGTCAAATTAATGTATTCTTGTAGTTAGTGGGTTTGTGCTTTCCCTAATTGGTATAATTGGGAATTTTTAATCATTATTTTAATATCAAAAGAACTATTGTTATAGGTACTTCATTGAATTTGTACCCATGCTTAGTTTCTTCTAATAGTGGTCTTCCATTGCAATTGAAAAGGAATTTTCTGTAAAGAAGAAATAACAAAAATGGACTGCCTTTGTATGAAATAGGGTTGTTGATCCAAGTCCAGTTTGTACCTTCGTCATTATCCTTTTGGTTTTGTGCACTACATAGATCTCCTGTAAATATATTTTTTAAAATGGCTGTAAATATTTTAAATTGGTTGAAGTCACTGGGACAATACTCTGTCCTCCTTGTGTTCATATCTGACAGAACGAATTGTATCACTGGTCTATACAATGGTTATGTTTCCCCAATGACATTGAAGGTCATTCATTGTGATATTTTGTTGATGACTCTTTACAGTTATTGAACCCAAATGTTACTTGTTTTATTGCTTCTATAGTTTAATGACATAACTGAAAAAAATAATTGATAATTCTGAAGCTAATGATTAATTTTAGTTCTGGTACTAAGGATTTTGAACACTGTTTGTTATTACACCATTGTTTTGTGTCCACACAGTTCTATTGGCACCTTTATGTATATATGTGTATAATTCTATTATAATTTATGGTATCTTCTCATCTTGTGTGCAAAGTGAATTTACTTATAAAATAATTGTTAATCTGGAAGAAACTGATATCTGTTGTCAAATTCAATTTTCATTGTTGTTTTGGAAAGTGCAAGACATTTTGTTGGAGATCATGTATTTCAGGATATTTAGTATTGACTAAAATTATAGAATTTTACAGGTATTAAGGAAGGAAGGAAGCATATTTTAGGATTCAGATATTCTTGCAATGCCTCAACAATTCATAAAATGTACAAATATAGGGAGGTATAGGAAGGTTTTTAATGTTTTTTTAATTTGTGCTACTCTTTAAAGGAAAATACTGCAAATAATATTTGCTAGTTGTCAGCTGTAATTTTGGTGCTCGTTTTGTATTTGCCGAGACCTAATGATTCAAATTGTAGATTCACTTTCAATTTAGCGTTAACTTATGAATCATGTTATAAATATACATATAAGTATACATAGAAAGACTTGGAAAAATTCAGTACTGTGTGTTTATTCAAAAGTATACCCATACTTACTGTAAGAGTTCGGCAACTTAATACATATGATAACAATTCTGACATAATTGTTGATAAGTTACATATTTAGGTGTATTCTTTGATATCAGTAAGCTTTCATAATTTGTCTTGTATATAGGAATTTTTTTGGTAAATTTTTTCTTAAAAAAAAAATAAGGCAGTGCCTGCAATAAGATGTTTCTGAGAACTTCACATTTTATTACATTTTATTTTTTGAAACATGCATCATTTAAATATACTGTTATTACATTCTTGTAAATTACTAATATTTGTTTAAGTATTGCTTAGAATCTGAAATACATGATGTTAATTTAGGAGGCTCTCCTTCATTGTATATATAAAGCAAGTCCCTTTTGACTGGTAATAATTTATGAACAATTCGACTGTTGAATTTCTGTTTGCTCTAAAGTGCTCCGCTCAGTCTTGTAAATAATTAGGAAAGATGCAGTTTTAAATCTTGGAGTTATAAATGTCCAAGAAGTGAATATTTTACCAAGTAGTATGCTGTATGTTTTGCTTACATATATACAAAGTATGACTGTGTGAAGGGCTCTTGGGCAGTGAATTTTTTTTTTAAGTATTGATGACTCACATTGAGAAAGATATAAACAAGTGTACATGAATAGTCTGTGCGAATGCATTGTTTTTTGTTTGTATAATTATTTTTAAGTTTTAATAACACATTTCTTATTGGTTTCAAGGGAAATAGTGTAGGGGTGATAAAGGGTATACTTTCTTATTGTGGTTTTATTTTATTATATTTCTCTCTCTTTTTCTTTTTGTTCCTTTCTCTGGCGTTGTTACTGTTTTCTTTGTGTGATGGGGCTGCATTTATTTCACTGCATTATCAAAGTGGGTTCTTCAAATCCCTTTGACAAGATTTACCATTTATTTATATATATTTACAAAATATACCTTCAATTGCTCTGTTAAGTTTTAATGTTTTATTAAATATTCATTTTTGTTACCTGACTGTTGGACAGCAAACAGAATATACTTTAAATAATAAAATACCAGACACAATTTTTAGTAAAGTGTTTGAAACACACAATGTAAGCAAGTGAGGAAAATCCGTGTTGTAATTGGAAAACTTTCAAAAATAAGTTTTGTAAGCTGGAAACATGGCCTCAGAAGTGTTTCATGTTCATCCCTTGAGGTTTGAGTAAGAGAGGCAAATTTCTTTCTTTCTTTCTTTCCTGCCCATGTTTCAGAGTTTACTTCATAAAAAATTGCAGATTTTCTGAACAAAACATAAAGCTTCCACTATTCCTTAATGAGATTTGGACTTCAGAGCTTCAAGGATGTATTTCATTTAAAAATTAAATGGTTGATTAAGGAATAATTTTGAAACTTTCTGCAAGATACATGCAATTCTTGGAACACATGAATTTTGAAAGAGAACTTCACAGATACTTCAGTTTTTGTACTTTTCCATGAAAAGGAAAGAATTTTTCAGTCATCTTGGTGAGATGATTGGAGGAGCACAAGGTTTTTGCTGCAATATAGCAGTGTCCACGGCTGTGATTAAACTTTTTATCTATCTTTTCTTTTGTAATGAACCTAAAATTGTTTTGGTATTGAGAAATGGTATAGATTTCTATTTGAGTAGAATATAGCAGAGTAGAAATCTGTTGCAACCAAGCAGTTTTGTTCATGAAAACTTCCTTAGATATCCAATAGCTACTTCGGTGGTTGTAGTTAGTCCCATATAGTACTTGATCTACATGCATTATGGGATTTAGTAGGAATTGACAAATTATGCTGGACAACTTCTAAGTAATATTTAAGTGAGAAATTAAAGACTGTCTTGGCTGGAGCTTTGTTGCAAGTTATAGCTCTTTCTGATAGAAAAATATTTTTTTCATTTCATGGAAAAGTGGCTTTTGAGATGGAATAAAATGCTCAAAATGGTAAAAAAAATTTTTTTTATAGTAGATCATGTTTTTTGTTTTAATATATCCGTTGATAATTCAACTTCTGGTGTTGAACTTGTACATACCCTGATTTCTTCTCACAAAATGGTGTTATTAGTATTTTGAAACATGCTCGAGTGCCTTGTTTCTTCACAAAGTAAGGAATCCATTCTTATTATTTCTGTCAAATTTTCTTCATATATATAGATATATATGGAGTAAGTGGTTAGTGTAGATTAGTAGTTTTGTATGTATGTATTCAATTAACAATAGATATAAGTGTTTGGGGACAGGATGATAGCTTGAAAATTATTTGTGCACTCGGTTGAATCTTCCTTTTGGAAAATGCCAAGTAGAGATTTAAAGCAATCTGCACAGGTTTTATATAAAGAAGTAATTATTAGTTTCATACACTGGGTGATATAATAAAGAGTATGAGTACTTACTTCAATACACAGTACTTTCACTTAGTGGTATGGTTTTTTGGAATTCAGTTTTTTGTCTCAAGTGGATTATTTCCTTGATTGGTTTGTGGACTGGTTTCCTTAATTCTTTGGTTGGTTTCTTCCAATTGATGCTTAGTTTTGATTTTAACTTTGTGATTTTATGAGACATGCAAAGAAGTAAATATTTTTTGTAAGTGTACATGTTGCCTGAATACTTTATTAAACTTGTAACAGAATGCACTTCCAGGTATAATAAAACTTATTGAGAAAAGAAAAAAAACTTATTTTTCTGTTTGTGGAATTCAACTGAAGTTGATACGTTATCTAGAAATAATCAATATACAAAAGGAAATAAAATTTTATTTATAATAGGGATAAATTAACTTCTTAAAGAATGGTTTAAAGAAAATCTCTTACAAATTCTTAGTGGTATATTTGCGGTATAATTGGATTCTTTTCTCAAATTCATTATCTTGTGCCTGGAAGTGGCTTACTTGAAAAATACTAGTCCATTATTCAAAAAACTGGGGAACACAGTTCCTTAGAAGAAAAGAATTCGGTGTCAATATTCTGATGCTGGCATCTTGTGGTGCAAACTTGCTAGTCCCAAATTGAAAAACTTTTTAATTTGCTAGTTCAAGCATAGTAAATTTTCAAAATGTACATTCATTTGTGAATTATGGAAATGCTAATGATTGATAAAATTAATTTTAATTTTTGGGGAGTGTAATACATATTTTGAGAGAATAGGGCCCTCCAAAATAGTTCCTATGGTGGTAATATTGGTATCTGAATCTTCTTTGAGCCATGCTTCTAAACTGTAAGCCATCAAACTCTACTAGCCTCATATTAATGATGCTGAAAAAGCAGTTATTTCTGATCCCTGTGCAGCATTTGTGATGTAAATAGCAGTGGCACAGTGCGATAGATTTTGCTGGGTATGATGAGATTTGTGCATGTGTAGTGCTGAACTTGTAGCTCAAGAGTTTGAAACTGCATAGTGTTCATCTTATCCAGTAATGAATTGTTTCAGGCACATTAAGTTGAGAGAACAAAATTTTGTTTTGTGTATATCAAATCGTGCATTTTCTTGTGTATACATATAGCAATTGATAATTTCACATGTGTATTTGCAAAATGTGTATGTTTATGAGTATGTTTTATTCATTTTGTGAATAAAAAATAATAAAAAAAAGCGAAAAACGGAAATCGCAAAAAAACTTCAATGGTTGTTTTACTTCCTGTATTGAACCTACATTTATTTATTTTTTTTTTATTTATTTATTGAAAGAATGTGATATTTATAAGGACGGATGTTGATGACCTAAAACTTGCCCAATCAATAAAATTACTTAAAAACAAAAATTAAGTTAAAACTTTATCAAACTCTCTTCAGATGACCAACGCCGTTTGGTATGTTACTGAGGTAATCAAGGCTTCTTTTGTTCAAATGAACTGCTGGGAAACCTTTGGTTTGGACTGTTCTTTAAGAGAATATCTCTACCTGTATTTCTGGCGAAATCGGCCGAACTGACAGGAACTTTAGATTCATAGTACTCATAACGTCTGACATTTCGATATATGAGCGAAGAAATTGAATAGGGTACTCGAAAATTCTGTGGTGAACATTTGTTGCACCTCGTAAATATTAGCTAGGCGAATTCAGTCGCTGTCTGGAGAAGAATTATAGCGGCCGGCTGCTCTGATCGATACTTTTCCGTGGTTTCTTCGTTCAACACCGGGCGAATGCCGCAACAGTACTCCAACAAATGTACCGCGCGCGATTTTTCCTACCACTTTCTTGTCTTTTCCTCTCCCCTTCCACACACTGCACAAGCACGCATACCGGAAGTCTGGTTGGAAGCTTTGAGCGTGTCCCGGCAGGGGCGGTGCCTCGTTGCTGGGTGATACCTAGGGAAACACCGCTTGTCGATGCCGGACTCGTCATACATCGGGGAGAAGTCTACCGCCACCACCCTAGTAAAATGAACTACACTTACGGGACTAATAACTCTGGTTACAATCGTAATTGTTTGAAGCAAGTGCCATTAAAATAGATGAAATCTGCGAAAAGGTAAAAAAATGATTTATTAGTCGAAATCGACGAAAAATCTATTTCGTTTTGTTAAAATATTAAATGAATTTCTTTACTAAACAGCATTGTTCTACAGTGAAAATAAAAAATGACATTTCATTAAAATCCGCCCCCTAGTGATGGCATAAAACTTGCACAGGCCCTAATTGGCTCATGTATTCCCGCCGGAGAGAGGGGGAGGGCTTCTTCCCCTACCCCGCGGTTTTATTCACCAATTCCTAGCACCTTTCTGCAGTCTAACATGCAGTAAAAACGAAATCCGTAACGAAACATTTGATTTCGTCTGGACAGAGGTAACCATGACAATCTCTTCAATACTCGTTGATTCTTTCTCCAAAGTCACAATATGTGTCAGTTGTGTGTCGTTTCTTTGCCAGAACACTCTTGTCGGATGAAAATTATCGATAGAAAAGTAGATGTTCCTTGCAGCTCCTGCTAATGCTCTCCCAACGTATTTAAAGAATATTTCGGATCCTCAACAGTCTCCAGAATTGATTAAGTTTCTTCGTAGAATTGTCTTGTATATAGTGTATTCCATTGTTGATATTGCCTACCCAATGATTACCTGTCCACTGATAATTAATTGCAGCGCTGAAATATCATTTTCATGTTTTAAGAGAGTGAATGACTACATCAGATCAAAACTGACCGAAATTGTTGGTAATAGAATCAGTAATTTTAAATTCAATAAACTATGATGATCTCATGTACCAATTCGCTATCAAAACGCAAGATATATTAGTTGTTTTTTAGTGTTATGTTTATCATTTTATTAAAAAGGGGGTTATTATTAATTGAATAAACACTTATGAAATTTCCGAAACTTTTTCTTCGTTATTAAAAAATGAAAGTATATAAAAAGGGCGGCACTCAGTGTAGTGCCCAGGGGCGTCGGATTTTTAAATCTGACACTGAGCACACACTAATTGCGCGAAATGTCACAGCGGCTCACGATCACTCACTGGACACCTAGAGAGATATTACTTTGTCAACACAGATTCTGATTGCGTCTGTCGCACTCCAATACGTGAAAGTCGCATCTGTCAAGCGGAGTAAGAAAGAAACTGGTGGTTCTAATACAGCACGTACTTTCTCGCCCGTATTTACACGGAATATTACGTGAAAAGTACTCAAATTTTCGAAAATGTGATGCGTCTATTCACGCAACACGTCTCCTATCTCCTAAGAGCGATGAGAGCAACCTGGAGTAATCCTTTGTTAATTATAGGAGTAATACGTGCCCTGTGTCATCTACCCATCGTCTAGAATTGGGAAGGAATAAGGATAGGGAGTAAAGTTTACGACGCTTCACATGAGTTGGACTAGCCCCTGTGAAGCATGCTAACTCGTTTTGTCGTAACTAATTTCACATGAGGTTCTACAGGAATCGAACCCGGAAAGTACATTGTGCATGCAATTTTATTTCAAAATCTATCTTTCAGGAACAGATTTCATTACGGGAAAAATCTCTTCATAAATTTAGTTGCAGGAAGACACCGGACAAATTTTGAATTTTTGCAATTTTTGGAAACTGAGTTTTCAACGAACTTGAAACCTGCACCATTCTCTTAAACGTCCTTCACACAATCCAACAACCAAATTTAATCAAAAACGATGAAGCCTTTTATGTAAATTTTAGAAATGTCCCAGGAGATTCAGGTAAAAACCGTCAGATTCAAGGGACCACCATTCATCAGCCACATCGATTGGTGAATGAAAATTTTGGAGAATATAGGTTGAACGGCTCAGCTGCTAGCGTTGTTCACAAGACGGACAGACAGATGGACGGATAGACATGTTTTGCCGTCATTCGGCTTTTCGATAAAAAGAACCCATAAAACATGAATACTGGCTATACCACGTGTTGGAGTTTTTTTTCTAAATTTTGAACTACATTTATATACTTGTTCGTTTCCAGGGCCCTATAATAAGTTTTCTGACGAAAATGCGTCGTTTTTTCACGCAGCATTACGTAACTTTCTCTCAACTCCGACGCTCTGCGAGGTTTTCGTTGCTGCTCTCTGCGAGGCTTACGAGCTGCAATTTGAAGCTCCTGTAGATTTAGCATTGCTGTCAAACACAGGTATTGGACGGGGCTTCTCTCGCCCGTAAGCTGCACTCCAAACGGCCACGGGGTTCCGAGGACCTCCGAGTGCTTCGCAAATAATGCCGAACCGCTTGATGCAACTACCCTTTCAAAGTTCCAACGCGTGATCACAGAGAGGCGATATAGCATGTGCGTCTTACATAGGTTTCTTAATTATTGGATGTAGTGTTTTTCGGTGTTGTAGCATTTAATGTGTAGTGCATTGTGCTTTGATAAGGCAGTGTGAACGGTATGTGCAAAGGTGGCCGTGTGCTTCTGAGTATGCAAAAGTACATTAATACTGAAATTGCGTGTAACATTCTGTCGAAAATGAATTCTGTGAGTCGCCTCGTTGAACAGCCATTTTCTTCTTTGGTTTATGAGGAAAATGTACGAGTAAAAGGACAAGGTAGGCCCCTTCCCGATATAAAACTCGAAGTTTTAGGTATCGATATTTCGCATATCCCATTTCGATATCGACTTCATTTCTATATCGATTTTCCATTTCGATATCGAATTGATTATACATTTTGATGTCAATTGCTCATTTCGATATTATGCTCTCACTTCGGTATCGATTTCTCACTTCAGTATCGATTTCTCATTTCGATATTGTTTTATTTCATAATTTTCTCATAAAAATGTCGATTTCCGATTTCTAATTCGTTTCTCATTTCAATATCGATTTCGTTTTTTGATATCGCTTTTCAATTTCGATATCGGTTTTCCATTTCGATTTCGAGGTTCAATACAATATCGATTTTTTTCTGTATCAGTTTCCTATTTTGATATCGATTACCTAAGTCGTTATGGGTTTCTCATTTCAATATTGATTTCCCATTTTGATATCGGATGTCCAACTTGATATCGACTTCCCATTTCGATATTGATGTCCCATTTCGATATCGATTTTTGTATCATTTTCTCAATTCGATATCGGTTACTCTATTCGATATAGATATTTCTAATTTTTATATCAAATGTTGATTTCGATATCGGATTCTCATTTCGATATCGATTTCTCATTTCAGAAGTGATTTTGTACTTCGATATAGATTTATTATTTCAATATCGATTTTTATATCGATATGGCATTTTCATTTCAATATCAATTTCTCATTGTGATATCAGTTTTTCATTTCGATATCAGTTAATTATGACGATATCGATTTCTCATTTGGATATCGACTTTGCATTTCGATACCGACTTCCCAATCCGATATCGATTTTCAATTTCGATATGGGTTTCGCATATCGATGACGGTTTCCAAATTCGATATCGACTTTCGATTTAAAATCGATATCATATTTCCGTACCATTTTCCATTTTGATATATTTATCATTTGAATTTTGATATCTCATTTCGATATCAATTTCTCATTCGATATAGGTTCGCATTTCAATAATGATTTCCCATTTCAGAATCATTTCCCACATCTATATCCATTTTCCATTTCGAAATCAATATCCCATTTCGATCTCATTTTCTCATATCGATATCGATTTCATATTTCGAAATATATTTTTCATTTTGAAATATAATTCTCATTTCGATGTCGGTGTTTTGTTTACAATATGGTTTTCTCATTTCCATAAATTTTTGTCATTACGAAATCAACTCAATTCGATATAATTTTTTTCATTTTTATATCGATTTCTCATTTTGATTTCGGTTTCTCATTTCGATACAATTTTCTCGTTTCGATATCGCTTTTCCATTTCGATACCTATTCCCTAATTTGATATCGGCTTCTAATTTGGATATCGATTTCGCATTTCGAATTCATTTTTGTTTCAATTGCATCAATTTCTCATTTCTATATCATTTTCTCATTTCGATGTAAATTTCTCTTTCCAATATCGATTTCCCATTTCAATATTTTTTTATATTCATATTCGTCTCTCATTTAGATATCGATATCTCATTTCGGTATTCGGTATTGATTACGATATCAATTTTTCATTTCAAAGTTGATCTCACATTTCTATATGAATTTCTCATTTCGATATCGATTTATCATTTTAATTTCAATG